CACGACACAGGTCTTGAATTGGTCCTTGCCCAAAGTTTCCGGCAGCCAGTAGCCAGAGGCCACGGAGGCGAGGAACGAGAGTTGCAACAAGGTATTTTGCATTGCGGTAGTGACTGTAAGAAACGGGAAACCCAATAATCTTGGCTGTCGAGATGAACGAGCTTTCTTGGCGTTCTCCTCCAAGCTTTTATGTTCCGATCGTTCGGGCAAAGCAAGGACGTCGCAAATCTTAGCCCAATAGGTTAAATTGGTCCTCCTGTATCTGAAGTCCATGGGACGAACTCTCGCCCCCATCTGCCCGCGCCATGAGTAGTCCATGTGCGAAATAAGATCAAAATGCAAGGATGACAGCAGAGTTTCCAGGCCCGAACGCCTAGACTGTTGCGCTGATGGGAGTCTGTGCCTGCTGTAAGCTATCCAGTTTGGGGGAACACTCGCCGGAGAAATGCGATCCCCGCGGCCGACGGGAGCCAAGAAAGTGTCAAGATCCAAGCAGGCAATCTAAAAAGCTTGTCTCACCAACATTCAACAAGGATGCACGATCTCGTCAAGACGAAGAATATTGCCCGCCTCCAAATGGAAATGGTCGTATGGCAATATGAATGTTTCATCTAGACTGAACCTTGACATGACTCTGCCTTCGGTTTCAACACCGATGTTGCCGCATTAATCTCCCATGACTCCGCCTCATCCGCGACGCTGCCGATATCCGAACTGTGGGCCGCATTGCATTTCCGTTCGCCGTCTTCAACGGGTCACGGGGAATCCTGCGCCGAAGGACCTGGAAGTCAACTTCGAGCTGTAAGATTTCTCTTCAGAAATGACATCCCACATCATCCCGTCAATCGACCATCGCATCTCACTAGTAGCAGCGACGAACGCCGCATGCCAGCCCACATTGATACGCAAGGTAATCAACGAACGGTAAATAGCGGTCTTGATTTTATGTACGATAAAGATGTTTCTACTCCCCCTTAACCCAGCCCTCCTTTTCGTTCTGCTCCTTACTGCGTTGGCTCCATGCTGGAGCAACGTCGATACCGTCTTCCTCTTCTCTGTCGCCCTGCTCCTTGGTCTCGTGGACTGTCGTCGGCTTATGTTCAGCTGGCGAGTAGACGGTGTACAGGATCAGTGGCGTGGGTCCCTTGTTCAAGAACTGGTGCTTCGTTCCGGCCGGGACAATAACCATGTCGCCAGCCTTGACCTCCTGCTCTTTACCGCCAACTTGAGCGAGACCCTTGCCAGATGTAAAGGTGAGAATCTGATCGACGGTGTGTACCTGATGATGATGTTAGGAGGTTCTACAAAATATAAATTCTCTCGTCGCTGATCGTACTTCTTCACCAATGTCTCCGTCTACTGGGACGGTCATAAGCACCAGCTGGGAGTAGAGACCAGTCCAAAGCACGCGCCGAAATTCGCCCGACTCCGACGGCAGTGCCGTGGTCATGTCAGGGAAGTATTGCATCTCCTTCTTCGGGGGATCGCTAGAAGGAGTAGGAAACCGGGCCATGCTGCTGATGTGGAAGAGGCACTTCTGGTGTACAGGCGTGAATGCAAGTGAGTTTCTCAAAGAAGCTCGGGAGATCTTTGGAAGGGAACGGACAGCTCTGAGCGAAAACATGAGTGCGGATTTCAGGTATTATACCGTCATCTGATAGCACTTCAATGTTCGAATGATATATCGTCGTTTTCAAATATCCTGGTCAAACTACATCATGATGTGGTGATGGTCTGTGGGATGGATACGTCATCGATCGGGCAGACCCAGTCATCGTTCGAGTCCTGTCAGGGTTCTCATGCCCCTCATAAAGGTACACATATCTATCAGCGCCAATTGCCATCGACTTATGACGACTTTCATTCGTCCCCTTGGTGGTCTAGAATTAGATTCGAACGTTTATCGGGCAAGCAGCGAGACAGTAGAGGTTGGCTCCGACATCGCCGAAACGTGTGGGTCCAGTTCGCCGGAGTACCCGGAGCGTCGCCGGGGTCATCTCGGCATCGCACGAGTGCGTGCCCTACAGTTGCTACATGTTAGACATTGCTGTTATGACGCAAATTGAGTTTTATTCAAACTTTTATACTGATATTTGAGGGTTGAACCTAAGATGGGACAGGGCATGTTGAATGCTGTAACTCCGGGAAAACAACAGCGATCATACAGCAAACGAGCGGCCGGCCGGGCAAGCAGTGAGCTTGAACCAGCCAAATAAAGACACAAAACAAATCAGTACTAAGGCGAGCCTCAGCAAGAAATCAATTGAGAGATCCAAACATCTCTCACGACCAACAGCTTCATCGCAGGCGAGCTCCTCACCGAGCACGCCCGCTTTTCATTTCTCACTCACACACCCTTTCCAAGCAGAACCAAGTTGGCGACGTTCATGACCGCCATGACAAGCCAGGTTAAGATCGCAAAGGCCGCAGTGTACCACGAGTTCGCCATCTTGACCACATAGCCCCCGTCCCTGGTGTTGGAGTCTTCCTCATCGGAGCTAGTTCGGAATCGAGCACCGCCGGCGCGGATCGTCATGTACTTGTTGCAGCAGGTGAAGTAGATCAACGGTGCCGTAACAAACGGGAGGACAACACTTAGAACAACTTGCGAAGCATCCAGAGCCTGACTGATTCCCTTGCGACCGACGGCTCCCGCGATGATGACGCTGGGAATGATGCTAATGCTGCGGGTCACGAGCCGGCGCAGCCAGGGCCGCATCTTCCAGTTGAGGGACCCCTCACTGACCATCTGGCCCGCGATCGTGCAGACTACTCCGGCAGAAATGCCGGATAGAAGCAAGGCGAGCGCGAAGACAGTCGCTGCCGCGGGAGAGATAGAGTCCTTGAGGAGCTTGTGGATGCTGAAGATGTCGGCGTCAGGAGCGTCGGGGTTGTTGTATAGTGAAACTCCAGCAACGATCAGGATAGCTGAGTTGACGAACAGCGCGAAAGTGAACAACGAAATGCTTAACTCGGCGATAGAGACTTTGAGGGAATGCTTGATGGCTCTGGCGGATGGCACGTAGTAGCCCTTGTCGGTGTTTCCGTCTGCGAAGTCTGTCTCGTCTACTCCAGGCGGCAGAAGGTTGTGCTTCGTGTCGTATTCTCGAAGACGGGGTTGAACGATGCCTGAGCCGAGATAAAGGCTGTGTGGCATGACTGTCGCGCCCAGAATGCCGCAAGCTTGGTAGAGACTGGATGAAGGTTAGCGACTGGGCTGTGGACTTGCAAGAGCAGCATCCTACCCCTTAGCTTCGACAATGGCATGGGAGGGCAGGTATCCTTCGAAGACATCTCCAACAGGCGTCTCTTGAATGAGAGACAGTTGGATACAGAAGCAAACGACTACTGCCATAACCAGGCCTACGATGAAGTACTCGAACGTTCTCAAGCCTTTCATGGACCCGTGCGGTCGGTAGAAGAATAGGATAACCATCACATCCAAGATCGAGATGGCACAGCCAGCTACCAACGGGATGGCAGGAATCAGAAGGTTCAATCCTACTGCAAAGCCAATCACCTGATGAGAATGTTAGACCATGACTCCTTCTCAGAGATACCCGGTTCACGGACCTCAGCAATGTCGGTTGCGATGATGGCAACCTCTGCAAAAATGTACAGGGCATAGTTCAACCAGCGAGGCAAGAAGGCCCGACAGGCTTCAGCCAGGTTGAGTCCAGTGACGGTGCCAAGCTTGATGCAAAGACTCTGAAGGAAGATGGCAAACAAGTTGGCCAAGAGGACGATGAAAAGAAGTCGGAAGCGGTAGGTCGCGCCAGCGGCGACGTCCGTGGCATAGTTTCCAGGATCAACTGTTCACATCCGATGGGTCAGTTTGCAGTCTCAACACTACCAAAATGCAACACGTCAGGGTAGAGCGTTGGTGTCTTACTGTACGCGACAGCAATCATGAAGCCCGGCCCCACGAAGGAGCCGAACTTCATGAGCGCCTTCTTCGCCCGAGCCACCAAATCCGAATGCTCCTTGTCATCGTGCACAGTGCTGCTAGGGGACGGAGGGATCTGTGAGTGAGCGTGAGGGAGAGGGGCCGCGTCGGCCCCATCTCCCGAGGGTCGACCAAGAATGATTGTCTTGGCCGAAGGGCCTCCCGGCGCCGGGCCCCCGTCTTTGTCCCGGCTCGGATCAGCTCGGGCTATGTCGGCGTCATCGGCAGCGGATTTATCCTGGCTACTGCCCGCGTTCAACTGCCTGGCATTCACTGTGCCGTTGAGGTCCTCGTTCGTGGTCAAATCATTGGACAGCGGGTTCGGGCTCTGGTTGTAGCCCTCCCCTTCGTACGGCTCATCGGTTCGCGATGGGCGGTTCATGATGGTCTCCCTCCCGAAGTTTGCTTGTTGTTTCGACTGTGAAAGAGCGAAGTGCGGTGAGTCTCGGGAGAAATCGTAGAGCTGTTCTTATGGCGTCGGGGATGCCGTGTTACCCGGGCCCCAGCTAGTTTCACCACGCAATCCACCGATCGGATGGCCGAAGCCGCCTGAGTCAGCTGCCCACCGGCCATGATCGGATGACATTAGCTCACTGCGGGGGCTGGGAATTGAAGATAAGCTTCAGATTCATCGCGACAGCAATACTATCTGAAGACGAGGTGAAGGTCAAGATGAAGCACGGACTAGACGAGACCCTCAATCGATGAGATCTCATTAGATCCGCATCACTGCGTAACAAATCATGATTGAGAAAAGCCCTCCTTTGTGGTGCGCAGATCATCTTTCACAACACCATTGGTCAGTGATCCTGCGCCGCTGTCGCACATGTTCCCGTGCGGAGATGTCGATGGATTGGGAAGCTCGGAGACAGTCGCTGGTCATGCTGGCAGTTTAGCGGCGCAGCCTGCCGTATCGCAGCGCCACCGAAGTTCTTTTGCGCCAAGTCATAAATCGACGGTTCGTCTTGGTGTTTGTTTCGCGCATCTCTTGGCTTTGTTGCGATACGGAAACTGCCTGTGGACAACTTGAATCACGATAAACGAGCGGGCTACAATGGCTGAGTCATTGGCAACTTTTCAGGGCAACTGTCACTGCGGGGCCAACCGCTACGAAGTGCAACTCCCAGTATTGCCCCAGCTCGTGATCTGCGACTGCTCGCTTTGCGCGAAGATGGGCTATGTCTGGATCTACGACGCAGAGGACAAGCTGGAGATTACGAGGGGTTGCAACTCAGATTTACTGACTTCGTACACTTCAAGCAGGGGAGAGGCACTTGAACATGAGGTGAGGCCGGCTAGTCATGGAGACAGACCATAGTGCAGTGCGACGCTAATCACAGTGCACCCGACAGTTCTGCTCGACATGCGGTACAGGCCTGTTCGGAACTCACACATCTGGTGTACAAGCCGGCAAGAAAGGGATCAACTTGCGTCCCCTTATTTCTAAAATTCCAGGAATATTTCTCAAGGGCAAAGAAGTTGTGACTATGGATTCTTCTGGTGAACTTGCTGCTTATCCCGGGAGTCTCAGGTCTGTCGCTAGAGGCTTGACCCAGAACATGCTCCCCGTCACACTCACACTGTCTCAGCATCGTCGAGACTCTTTCTGAGTCGGCATCGTCGCCACCTAAAGTCAACGCAACACCACCAGAAGCCACCGAAGAGCATCCCAAGCTCTACACTGGATCCTGCGAGTGCGGAGCTGTGCAACTCGCACTCAGAAGCAAACCTCTAGAGGAAGTCGAGATCAAGGAGGACAACTGCAGCATCTGCATCAGAGTTCGTGGCCTTCCTCAGGGCCATTTTCCTTCGGAGGTGCTGACATGTTGTTCCAACAGAATGGTACCGTCGGCGTTTACCCCCATCGATCTCAGGTGACGATCGTTGGCAAAGACAGTACCCAAGAATATCAATTTGGCCGCAAGTTCAACGGCGCCCCGTTCTGCAAGACTTGCGGGGTCCATTGCTTCGGAAACCTCTACGGTCCTCCGCAGTCAATCGTCGACAGGTTGCCAGAAGCCAAAAAGCAGTTTGTGAGGAAACAACTTGAAATTCAACCGTTGAACGTCAAGGTGCTCAACGAAGTTGATTGGAAGGGGCTGAACATCAAATGGACCAACGAAGGCGCTGAAGGATATGCTCTTCCGGATTAAATAATAGGCTGTCACATTTGAAGGCCAGCAATCCGGTCAAAAATTGAAGATCTATAGTCCGAATGGAGTCTTTTGGTGTGAATTAGATGGCACTGGGCACCAGTAGACGGCCGTCCCAGGGGAATCTGGCTTCCTAATCTATAATTATGTTAGCGTTCGGAGATTGGATCCGAAGGGTGGCGCAAAGAAGGCATGCAGCCATTATGCGTGGTACTTTTCTTTGAATTCTGCATCATTTATGCAGGCTACTCAGTAATACCAATAACAACGGGTGCGAGTCTGACATGGAGGTACTACCGCTTTGTTTTCAAGGTCAACGAAGCGGGCAACCTCTGTCTACTCAGCGCCTGCCACGTCAGTTCATTCTCAATCACTTTAAGTAGATTCCCTGGCCCCCGCATGTGTGAAATGGGACTTTGCTGGGTTGAATCACGTCACTTCCTCCGACCTTACTTCCTCCGAGAGAGAGAGAATTGCCAACAGCATACACAGCAGACTTTACTCTTCAGGTGTGTTCCTTGACTGTCTCTTTCTTGATGTCTAGATGGCGCGAGCCTACGTGTATAAGGCCAGACGTGGCAGTCGTGGGGGGCCTACCTTGCTGTCGGTGGTGCTATGCTGTCGCCTCCGTAGACGACGTCACATTCTCATCTCCTGTGCCCGCCCCGAATCAACCCAATGACGATGGCAACAATGAAGAGTACGAGCTGAGATGGCCGAACGTTGTGAAGTACATAGATGAAGTCGATTCATCAGATCCGCTAGCAACAATTATGCCTCGTTCGACACCTGACGTGGGACATCAGCAAGAGCATTCGAACGTCCCTCAGACTTTTTCACTATTTCAATCCGCCTTAAACAAGAATCACAATTTTACACACAGCTACAAAGAACAAAACCTGAAAAACCACCCATATGAACCGTCAAGATGCTACCCAGTGTTTTCAGCCGATGATGAGATCAGGGTTCTCGAGCTAGATTCTGACACTGGTGACAGCCTCCTCCACGGGGCTTTTACCAGAGTGCAGGTCGGTTCAGAACGGGCGCAGTATGAGGCTATTTCTTATACCTGGGCAGATGAATCTGGAAACTCGACTCGATGTAGGCCCATGTTCATCGGCCCATTTTGGGACATTGTACCCATAACTCGGAACTGTGAGAACGCCCTCCGCAGTGTGCGAATCTCTGTCGGCCTTCCACGCAGCATCTGGATCGACTCTTTATGTATCAATCAGGACGATGAGAAAGAGCGAACAGCCCAGGTGGCACTTATGCCGCGTATCTATGTGGGCGCAGCAGGCGTTTTAGTCTACCTCGGCATGGCAACATGCGATAGTGATTTAGCTATGGATGCTATGGCACGTTCTGGAGATACGGTCCCTTGCGCACACCAACGTTCTCGCAGCGGCTTATGCGAAATATGTCTCAAAGCTATTGAACATCTGTATGATCGGCCTTTCTTCAAACGATTATGGGTTGTCCAGGAAATAACCCTTGCTCGCACGTTAACCATCTTCTGCGGATCGAGATACGGACCTTGGACGCCCGACCAGATCACCAAGCGCCTTCAGGTTTCTCTTTGGACAAGACTTCACCGGAAAAGGCAGGGAGAGCCAGGACTCGAGCTACTAGGACTTCTGGTCGACACTAGCAGATGCGTCTGCAGCGACGCTAGAGACCGCGTCTTTGCCCTGCTGGGTATGTTGCACGGATTGAAGGATGGAATGATCACTGGAGACTACAGCCTCACATCGAAGGAAATCAGCATTGGAATTTCTGCATTTTTGATGCAGAGATGTGGACGAGGCCGAGAAGTGCTGTTGTGGGCCGGAGTCCATCAGGTCAAGTCGCGGCGATTGCCCTCTTGGGTGCCTGATTTCGTTGAGCCTATGAAATCGGAACAGAAGATTATAGGTCTTCTTCAAAGGTCACTGGCAATCTCAGGAGATATGAGTATCGGAACAGCATTGACAGAAGAGGTTCGGAAGAAAAGGCTATATCTTCCACCTTGCCTTCAGTCTACCATCCAAGTACACGCTCGAACAGCATCCTTACGTCTGACTGCAGTCAAGCTCTGCAACCTCAGAAGTTCTTTCAGGGCATTTGGTACTGGCCATGACTTTCATTCTTTTGTTCGACATGGATCTACCCAAAGAGCACATATACTGGTTCCGGGAGCCCCCAGGGGCTTCAAAGACCGGTCAGGTTGGCTGAGCATAATCTCGCAGGAAGACGGGCTGTACTGGCTCTATGGAATCGAAGGATTTGCGATACTGCGGCCTGACATTGATCAGGTCAGCCATCGCCTAATCTCTGGCTGTGATGTGTACTTTGAGACGATCGAGAATCAGCATGAAGAAACACAAAATCCAGGTCGTTGGCCACCGGATGGGAATTGGACCCGACGGCTTAGACCACTTTCGGAGTCGGATGAGGCAATTTGTTCAACGAAACTCCAAAGCCTTTTCCATACTGTTTCAATTCAATGGGGCACTGAGGGACTGGACAGCCAACGGACAGTGGATGCAAAGCCTACGGAACTTCTCCTAGACGTTGCTTTCATCCTAAGGCAATCTTCAAGGCAAGCGGTGAAGATGATTTGGGGAAGTTGGCAGAGATTGGAGCAGCGTCTATTGCCTCTTTTCCACAGCGATGAAGGCCTTGATACGATTCAAAGGTCTCTTGAAAGTGGTGTCATCTTACGTTGCGGCACTAGGGAAGACGGCAGGCCTCATGAAATTTACGCCTTCGAAGACTGCTACATGCAGTCCTTTGAACCTATTGCAACTCTCATATGGTCCATCCTGCCATCAGTAGGGATATACGCTGATGATAGCGAGGATCTCAGGCCTTCGCAGATTTCCGGAAGCCAGATTCTTAAGGACCTCAAGGAATGGGCAGAGCTTACCAGAACTCTCTTCTCCGCACTTGATACTCCATTGAGTACCGCTAGAGCATCGCAGCGCTTCTCCATTCCATTCTGGTATGTCCAGGAGCAATGGCTTACTAAGTGGGTGAGCTTTCAAGAAAGCTTTCCGGGCGTTGAGCCACTGACTGCCACTCGACACATGTTGCCTTTATTTCAGCGGTCCAAGATTCCAGAAGGCAGAAATGTTCATGAACCACTGCTGTCCCTGGTCAATGCTGCATATGCAAAGGCACAAGTTAAGCATTTGCTATGGGATTGGACTGTCTTCAAAAGAGACATGGTGAGATGGGAAATATTCTGGAAGACCTTGAACGAGGACACCTGGTTCAGATCATGGCTCTTCGACGAGGGATCAGACGAGTTTGGGAAGAATGGACAGGAACAAGGGCCTAAAGAGATGCTGAGGCGTTGGAGTCTAAGGTTGGGCACCTTAGAGGAACAGATGTCGCTTCGTCTTCGGCTCCGAGAATTCGATTTCAATATCGATAGCCGTGTTGATGTGGAGATCAAATGATCGGTCATATTAACAACCATTCCACATGCTACACAGCAGCGAGCAATGATCTTTCCGATGGGAGGCTTCATTGGCCCCGGAAGAGTAAACCAAGAAAGAGGAAGCAACCGCAGCGAGATTAGAAAAGGTGGAGGCCAAAGGAAAACCACGCGGACCGCGCTCAAGTCTGTTCAGAGGAGACTGAAGCTGGCAGGCCTCACAGCGCAATATTAGTTTCAAATCTCGAGTGTTATTCATTGAGCGCCGCGCCGCGTCATATGCGTTCCGAAGGCTTGCAGCACGCTCCCAGTTTACTCGCACGCAATGGGTGAGTCTGCCGCGGCTCCATGGACCACACAGGGATACGAACGTTGCTTGCTTGCAGTAATTAGGTTGAAAGCCGTCCCGCTAGCTGAGACGACCCATGTTCTGATTCTCAGCTCGACCACATTTGGCCTCCAGCTGCGTCCAAGAAGGGCAATTATAAACGAGGTGTGCATGAGAAATATTGGCGTTAGGCTGTATTTGTTTTGCCGCGAACAATTAGTGAAATCGGTATTTAAAGTTTGACGCGTCCCAAGATGCCTCGCATCCGCCCCAAATCACTCTCTGCGATCGAACATTGCGACGGCTAAACTACATGAAATAATGCCTGCAACGTACGATGTACCCCTTGACGGGAAGAACAAGCAAATAAGGCTGCTTGAGCTTCAGCCAGCAACAAGTCAGGATACGCCGATAAAATGTGTTCCGAATATTGTGTCGCTCGTGGATAAGCCCGTTTACACCGCATTGTCCTACACCTGGGGAGATCCTGCCGACAAGTGCGCAATCACCTTCGATGGCGACGATAACTTCCGCATTCCCAAAAGTCTTGATGGGCTTCTTCGCCAGATACGGTCCAGCGACTCCGCCAAAGCTATCTGGGCAGACGCCATCTCTATCAACCAAGCCCCCAACGCACCAGAGAAGAATGGTCAGGTTGCATTGATGGACAAAATCTACTCTCAAGCCACCGAGACTTTCATCTGGCTCGGGGGAGCAGCAGATGACAGCGACCTGGCAATGAGCGCCATTCACAGACTACACATCGATGACGTCTGGAATATCACTGCCAACACATTCAGCGAGCAGGAGCTGGTTGCCATCGTCGCATTGCAAGCTCGAGGGTGGTGGTCTCGCACATGGGTCATCCAAGAGATATTGCTCTCGCCGAATCCGGTCATTCTCTGTGGTTCGAAGACAGCATCAGTTGAAGCCTTCGTTCACCTTGACGATGTGAGGCGCGGATACCATCGCCCAAGCCGCAAGTACATCGACAATGCAGAACAGCCTTCCCGGTTTGAACTTACTCAAAACAAATTTTCGGTAATCTTGACAGACTATCCAGAGGACAAGGAACTCATCAAAGCGGGCCAATCAAACTTGAGTACATGGTCCAAAGTGGCTGACTACTTCTACGCTACGGACCCCCGCGACAAGATTTATGGGCTTCTTGGTATTGGGAAGCAACAGGAGAGGTCAGACCTGTTACCAATACTGCCAGACTACAGCGAGAGCGTAACTGTAGCAGACGTCTATGCTCGTGCAACGGCTCGCTTCATTTTGGAATGGCAGTATCTGCTGCCCCTCCAGTTCAACGTGGATGATGTTGACCCGGACCTCCATCTTCCCTCGTGGTGCCCAGACTACTCCAACCGCCCGGACAGGGAGAAGACAGCGTATAGAGGTTTTTGGCTCGGGCCAACTACCCCAAGAGGATTCTTCGCCAGCGGGCTCGATGTGAAAATTTCCGATGGTGTGGAAAAGATGTTCCCGCAGTCTACATCGTCAGACAGACATAGGAAGGTAATCCATCTTACTGGATGGATAATTGATACCGTGGTGTACGCAAGCGAGAACCCGTATCTACCGCAATACTCAGGCAGCAATGGGGGGGAAAGAGCACGGAACGTCAGGCAAAGAGCAGAACAGACGCGGGTCAATGTTCTGAAATGGGAAGAGGAGGCAAGGCGGCGGTTGTCGACTCAAAGCCCGTATCAGCCAAAGAGTGTGGACGATGTGTTTTGGCGCACCCTCATGGCTGACCGAGATTTCAGTTGGGATCTGGTCCCAGACTCTTATAAGCAATACTTTGATATCTGGCTGGGGCGTAGCCTTCTACCGCCACTTTTGCCAAGCCATGGAGATCCGGAAACCGAGGACGAACTGGAAGAGAGGAGACGGATCCATGTCAAACCTTTCACCGACTCAGCCATCACACGCACTCATGCCAGGTCCTTCATAATCACGGCCAGTGGATACATGGGCCTTGCATCTAAGAAGACTCTTGTGGGGGATACTGTGGTGGTGTGTAAAGGTAGCTGTGTGCCGTTTGTGCTACGGTCTCACAAGGATGTGGAGGAGTGGACCTTTTTGGGCGAGAGCTTCATCATGGGCATCATGGAAGGTCAAAGTGTTGCGAACCATCAGCACGCATCGTTTGTGATTGTGTGATGGGGATTGATTGCCGAAGATTGAGCTGCTGAGGTTTCTTGGTGAAACCATGCAACAAGAAGTTGCCATGTAGGTAGTCTTTCAACGGAGATGAATTTTTTATTTACTCGTTTCTATCCGAGTATTTCGAACTGCGTGCTAGTGAATAAAATCGATTGAATTGTTGCAAGCTATGGACTATTCGAAATTTCCTAACTTTCCCTGCAAGCACTCACCCAGATATTCCTTCAGAAGAAGTAAGGGCTGTAGTAAAAGAAAATCAGCAAAAAGATTATAGTGATAAGAATCATTCTAAGGATTCAACCAGTGTGTTTCAAGGAAAAGGATCGTATCTTTCTTCAACGTCTAATTATCTGAGTCAGGAGGATCCCGATGTGGGCTTGCCTTTCCTCCGTGGCCTCGGGGTGTCACATCCCTTAGCATCTACGCGTCGAATAGCTCAGACTTGTGAGCCTTAATCCACTGGGAAAATGTAGTTGGCTCTCTTCCCGTGTACTTCTTCAGGTTTGCGGATGCCTCTTTGTAACGGTCTGCCGGATATCTCGCCGACGTCTCTTCTCCTTCCAGCCAGTAGTCGGCGAGGGTGCGGGCCAATGGGGGAGGGACTTGTTGACGCGCAAGGAATTCTTCCTCTCCGATCTCCTTGATCTTGATCTCCCGACCGAGCTCTTGCGACACGATCTCCCATGCGTCTCTCTGTGACAGAAGATCGGGGCCACAGAGCGGAATAATCTCGGACTCGGTGGTTGGCTGTGCTAGCTTCGCACCAGCAACATACCCGATATCTTCAGGGGCTAGGTAGTCGCTGATTGCTCCAGGTCGGAGCAAGTAGACCTCCCCATTCTTGACGTCCTCGGCCTCCGAGCTAATGTTGCTGCTGAAGTACATTGGTCGAAGAATGGTACTCGGCAAACCGGTCTCCTCCAAGGAGACCTCGGCTCGTGCATGAAGCCCTGCGATGACATGGTTTTCTCTGACGGCGGCCTCCCTATCGGGATAAACCGTGTATGATGAGAGGAAGACGATACGTTTTATGCCCGCGTCTTTCATCGCCCCAAACGCCGACTTCATGGCATCTTGGGCCTGATGAATGACGTAGGTGAACGCAACCGTTGCCCCTGACTTGCTGATCGCACTGCGGATAGAATCCGGTTTCAAAAGATCTGCTTCAATGCGTGTGAAGTTGCTCTTTTCCTCCAACTCTCCGGAGAGGCCCGGGATTGGTTTTTTGGTGTTGCGCATAGCGAGGAAGATGCGAGCGCCGCGCGAGTGAGCCTCAATGGCCGCGGCCCTTCCAACAGCACCGGCTGCGCCAAAGATAATGACAGTTGGTGTTGATGATGCCATGATGGTCAAAAGATTTGTATGAAAAGAATTGAAATATTGAACAATCCGTGGTAGATCTTATGGTGTAATTGTTGTGACTTCTCCTTGAGGTTTCAATGAAGAAGACGGCATCAAGATTATTTATGCTTGGTATGGACATGCCTATATCATTGATTCATCCGTTTCGGGCGCCGGTGCTTGACAATCCATCCCGACAAGTCAAGTCGATCGGCTTTATTTCAAAGACAAGCTAAAAAGCCGTTAAGTCCGTCATGGCGATATATCCGAACGTGCCAATGGTGGGGGCAGGAAAGCATGTCACTTAATGACGCCAGCAAAATCAAAGGTCGGAACTCGGCACCTCAGCCGCCGTCTTCTTGCTGCTGCCACAGACCCTGCTCGGTACATGATAATGCTGTGTCGGGAAAAGATTGGTATAGGCACACATGGAGATTTTCGGCGGCTTCATGTCAGCTAAAAAGCCTGAGTGGGATTTACACACGCTAATTCCTCCACGAGGCAACCAGCCGACTCAGCCACTCGGCCTTTATCTCCACGGTATGTGTCTAATTAATATGGTATCCCGCACCCGTGTCCGCATTTGTAGGAATAATTTGATATCCATGATCTCAACACATTAAAATTCCGACTGGTTCTTTGAGCACGAATATCCGTGAAAACATGACGCACGCTCCACGGTCGGTTCCCGCTAACTGGCAGTTCTCCGATTGATGTGAATACAGAAGGAGATGCCGCAGATCCCACTCTGGCTCCATCGTGACCCTTCGATTTTGGTGAAGAAAAAGACCTTCGCAGTAACTAATATTATCCGTATCAGCGTAGTCCATATAGCGGCGTTCCCGTCCACGTGGATTCTTGCACTTGAGATGACTTGTGTGGAGTAAATGCGCGTGTTTTGGCGTTGGAAGGGCAATTTTGCTTTGCAATTGTCTTTTGATTTAAGTAGAAGACCTGGTCTCCAGCTATCAGCATCTCACTTTGTTTGCTCGGTCGTTTAGCACCATCGTGACCTCCCCAAAATAAAATCCTGGAAGCCTCACCTCACAAGAAACGTACACTCCCAAGTCCCATTATTTTGCGTAAATCAAGATCAGTCTTTCCGCTGGCGCTAATGCATGCCGGATATCCTGATCCAGAGCCTATTCAGAGAAGACTTGAGGTATGTTGCATTCTATCTGTCTATCTATCTGGCGAAAGTGCTCGCGCATGGAATATGAGGATGAATGCTGACCTCTCTGTAGTTCATCCAGAGCCGGCAGCAAGGGAATGGCGAGTGGTTGCACGAGGGCGTTGAAGGGGTGTTCAATCAGACATGGTAAGTTCACAACTGGACATCCATTTGCTTGTCTATTGCTGTCTATTGCGAGTGATAGTTTAGCTGACCTTTGGGGGAAACTGTAAGTATGATCGGATACCCGAACTACAAATTCTACTTCCCCGTCATAGCATTGGGTGCGTGTAAGAGGATGTATTTTCCCAAGATCAAGGTGTAACATCAGGGGGGAATCAGTGTCAATTCGAGGACAATTATCATCGGCCTGAAATCAATTTTGCTGGTAAAAATATCATACGTACTTATCGATGGAAGACGCCGCAGGGAATGACAAGTTTAGTGCCTTGAGAGAATGAGGGGGCGGTCAAATATCCGGAGGGCTGTTCCAGAGCAAGCTGGGGTACTTGATAGTAGAGTTTTGCTATCTAGGCGGATATTCCTGGCTATCCTAGCGGGTATTATATATAAATGAATAATAAGGGTAATGAAAATAACGATAATTATTAGTACGACAATATGGAAAGCGACGATAGGGACGAAAGGAACGACAGGAACGGCAGGAACGACAAGGACGATGAGGACTACAGGAACCACATGGATGATAGGGATATCAGGGATTGGATAGTAAGGACGATAAAGATAATAGGGGTAATGAACTAATAATCTAAAATAAGCTATTGTATCCATATAATAATAGTTACCCGCCTGGATAGCTAGAAGTATCCGCCCGGATAGCAGCTGTCAACGCAGGTTGGGTAAGAACATCGTGTGTTTGTATGGGAAACAGTACTAGGTACGATCTGGGAAGGTTGGCCCGCATAGAAAGCCAGTTGAAAGAGGGGATCGCCCTCCAATGCTTCATAAATACTCACTGCATTTGAATGGGGCATGGCACCTAGTTTGACCACTCAGGGCGCATGTATTTTAATCTAGTGTGGTCATCTTCTGAAAGTAGCAACTCGGGTGCTGCGCCGCTTTCCTGCATCCAATATTGACAGTCACATCCTGCGGCCCGCGGGTGCTGCGGGAGATAACCCAAGGCCCCCGCCAATCATTCCCAGCAGCGTATTCTGTATCGAACCAACTGATTATGGCCCAACGTGTCCGTTTCCCTTACTTTACTAGTCCTCGTCCTCTTTGATGCTTTGTGGGCGTCGCTCGTTTCGCTGGTGTGTTCGGCGTCGACTACATTTGTCAAGTATATCAGAGCAATGACTACCTCCAAAGCAGAAATTGGAGAGATCCAATCAGAAGAACCCCAGCTGTCATATACCAGAACAGCCGACAAATTTACAAGACTCTCTGATCAAGTATACCTCCTCGCAGCGCCACAAAATAGTCTTGATAAAGACATCGCCGACCAACATGGGCCAGACACGATACTTCTTTTCGGCTGGGGCGACGCCAGCCTCAAACATGTCGCCAAATTCGCCGATGGCTTCCGCATCCTGTTCCCCGGAGCCAAAATCATACTCGTTCTGGCACCAATCTTCAAGGGCTTGTTTTCGAGTCAAGACGATAGGATTAGCTGCGTTCAGCCACTCATCCACGAAGCATTTGGCACCGAGTCTGCCGCCCACACACCTGGGAAGGATCCGTCAGTCCTGGTTCATGTGCTGTCGAGCACAGGATGTCTGTACTTCACCGCCACTCTTGAAGGGTATCGAAACGCCTTCGGGCAAGTGATGCCACACTCGTTGCTGGTCATGGACTCCACGCCCGGGTCCATTGATCACAGCCCGAGCAAAATTGGGAGAATGGCGGATGCGATGGCCGTTGACGCTAGGTCCAAGGTTCCGTGGCCGCCACAAGTCACCAAGGTCATGTGCATCATGCTTCTCTATATGCTGCGCGCTCTAGAGCTGGCTCGTTCACGCGAGAATCTACTTGTTGTCGCTTTTAGGATGGCGAATGATGAGATATTTGAGACGAAGTTAGCCAGGCGGCTGTACATATACTCCAAGGAGGACCGCACCACTGCGTGGGAAGCTGTAGAGAAGCACGCAGATGAGGCGAGGGAGTTGGGTTACATGGTCGACAGCAGCTTATGGGAGGGCAGCGGACACGTTGAGCACATGAGAAAGTCACCGAAGAAGTACTGGAGTATCATCAGCAAAGCTTGGGAGGAAGCTAATGGTTCTTTGGTCGTAAAGGCTCGTCTATAATAATTCTCTATGCTAACATGAGGCTTCATAAACGGGAAATTCACACCTTGAATAAGTAAAATCCTCAGATAAATAGACCATCTAACATTAACATTCTTCGTTTGTCGACATAAAAGGGGTATCTGAAGACAATTCACGCATCAGAGCACATACGCCCGACACCTATTTGCAAGTTGGGACACCCAACACTGCTCGCTTAAACCTCAGCGGGCTTCTTTCCTCCATCACTGTCGACATGAACGGGGGCTCCTTCAATGGGTCCTTCAACGGTCTTGGGCTTCTCGAAAGGCGCCATGCCCTTCTTGAGGGCAACATCCTCCTCGAACGTTCCGTAGATGTCGAAGTCATCCTGAAATCCGAGTCTCTTGGGTTTGAACGCGAACGTCAAGATGGCGTACAGCGCTCCAGCTTCCAGGAAGCCAAAGATGTAGTTGCCAAGGTAGTACTTGTACAGACCATCGTTGATCTTGACGTTGGGATTGACAGCGGCGATCATGCCGGGCATCGCCGGTACGAAACACACGACCCAGGCGACAAAGGCGCGCCAGTTGAAGCCGCCGGTGTACCAGTAAGCGCCCTCCTTGGATCCGGTGTAGAGCTGGCTGATCTCAATCTTTTGGCGACGGATGATGAAGTAGTCCGTCATCATGATGCCGGTCAAGGGGCCCATGAAGACAGAGAAACTGGCTGCGACAGAAACGAAGACACTCGCGGTGTTGTAGAACTCCCAGGGCTGGACGGCCCAGGACAGGACGGCGGCAATGAGGGCACCGCGCTTGATGGTGATCCAGGTGGGAAGAAGACCGGCCAAGTCCATGCCGGCAGCGTATCCGTTACCGAGGATGTTCTCGGCAATCTGGCCCAGAACGAAGCCCAGACTGCAGAAGAAGGCCCCGGCACGGGACTTGGCGTTGTAGTCATCCATCATCCACTGAGTGATGACAGTGAGAGGGTTCCACATGGGCTCCTCCAGATCCCAGATAGCCATGGAGGCCGAGGCAGTCAGGATGGCGAAGATCGGGACGATCATGCCAGGGATGAAGAGAGAGAAGACGATTCCGGGCACTTGGTTGCCCTGGCGGCGGGCGAAACGGGTGAAGTCGCTCTGGTTGAGAACACCGGCAGAGATGTTTCCGACGGAGGCGATGATGCCGTAGACCCAGGCCCATTCCTTGGTGAGAGTGGAGATTTGCTTCGCGCCGGACTCAAACAAGGGACCGGTTCCGCCGGTGGTACAGGCCCAGATGGTAATGCCCATCATGGTGATCAAGACGATGATGTTGGCGATGATAACCGGCACCTTGGCTCGCTCTACGCGGATGAGCTGAGGGAGTTAGTACTCATGCAATTCGAAAAAAAGGTCATGATGAAGCACTCACTAGGAACGGGACGGAGATAATGTGGAAGATGACGAAGCCAATCAGGTCGCGGGTGACCATGTGAGCGCTCTCAGGGAGCGTGTTCTCCATGGTAAGGAATTTGTAGCTCCAGCTGCTCAACATGGCGGAAACACAGAGTCCTCCTAGCCATGCTTGAGAGCCGTACCACACGATGGAAAGCATGATTCGAATCAGCTGTCCGATGTAGGCTCCATTCATGCCGAGGATGATTCTGCGAGATGTTGTTAGTTGTTGGGCGTAGAGAGGGTCTCTTTCGCGATTGGCTTACCTCTGGGAAACAGTGAAACCAATGTGCCATTCACCACCCATCCATCCGTTGCCAATGACAAGCAAGCAGATCAGAACTCTAGCAAGAATCATCAGGCCGATTGTTTGAGGGATCGTGAGGCCCAGCGACAACAAGGATGCCGCGCCAGTCCATGCTGAAATGCACAAGCTACGGAGATGAAGTCAGCATCATGATGAGAGGTGCGCATTGAATGTCGAAACTTACTTCGAGATGGATCCAAAACCGAGGAAGGCCCATACACCCCAGGTTCTCCGGTTCGGTGGCAGAGGCGCGATGTCTGGGTTAATCCATTTCGTCGTCTCGTAACCGTGCTCGTCGTCGTCCCTCACCCTGATTCTCTCGAGGATAGCCTTGCCCATCGTGCCGTGATTGGACGACTCAGCGCTCAACAGAGGCGTGATTTCAAGTTCGTCGTCCGTTGAGGGGATCGTAAACTGCACTCGGTCTCCACTTGCTGATGGTCCGTCAGGTCGGGTACTCATGCACACGCAGACCACAGAGCACCTAGAACTTGTTGAAGAGTCTAGATGCGCAGTTTGTGGGATGAACAGTGGGATACCGCGAGGTCAAGCACATCAAATGAATCAAAACAAACTTTTTCACAAGCAGGAGATGTGGTCCTTATGTCGGCAGTAAAAAAAGACGCATTTCCCCCCACACGGGATCGATTGTACCCTTGACGACCCTCCTCGGGAAGAAGAAGGTAGGATGAGAGAGCCAAGTAGCTTATCAGATTGAGTGGTCCGACGCGCATCTGCAGGCCTCGACCCTTATCAGATCCATGCATCCCTGCCGCGCCCAGGAATCAACGAATCGAACTCCCACCAAGGACATCACGCCGACAGCCCGCCGAGGTCACATCGGACCCCGCACTTGGTTCCCGCCAGACCAGCCCGTTTGTGGGATAATCAGTGGGAAAATCGCCTGACCAGGCTACAAGACCGACGGCGAGAGCAGAGGAAAATTCGCAAAGTTAAAAAAATCACTGTGATTTCCGCCCCTAGCGCTATTAACACGTGCAGGAGACTTTGCAATCTTGGGGGGCCAAAAACGCCCGCGTAGAGAGATATGCGGGAAAGCGAACATGGATGCGCCCGCTCGTGAATATTCTGAGATCGTCAATTGGCCAACATCCATGGCGATGTTCTGGCGTCCCCGGATCACTGATAGCTTCTGGTGATAGCATAGATAACAACGCCTGTCCGGCAGTTCACCTAGTCCCACGCGGTCTCGATGAATCCGAGACAATGGGTACGGGAACGGCTGAGCCGCGGGGCGTATCCATGACCAACGTGCGTCTCAAAAGAAGCCTATTTCAACGTCAAAGAGACCCGTGAATTAGTGTAGATAGATAAGGGCTCGTCCGGAATGCACGACTCCTCCCACTTGCCGACTAGGCGAGTATTTCCATGCCCAACACCATCCAGCCCCGAACGCCGCTACCATTGGATGACTCAAATAGGAAGACACTCTCCCGGATAAAGCTGGGCTAGCACCATCCAGTTCCAGTCCTGGCCTGCATCTCTAGCTTTCCACACCCTCTCCTCGACGAATGTCCGCGTCCGCTCGACGGTGACCGTCTTTCGATGCGTGCCTATCGAGTCGAACACATCCCGCACAGCAGTCCTGTCCTCATCATCTAACATCTCGCAGGCCGCCAGGAAAACGGGCCACAGCAACATCTTGGTCTCTGCAGGCGGGCCGCTGGTGTAGAGCATCACGTCGTGAGCCTTGCTTAACGCCTCAGCGTCTGCTGTGGGGGATGAGTTGGGGAGGTTAAAGAGACGATGCAGGTACAGGAGGGCCCCCGCCCGGTAGCATGCAGCCTGTGCACGGAACTTGCGCGACGAGCGGAACGAGAGGCTGTCAGATATCATGGGGCGCCAGGCTTCCAGCCGCATGCGGAGGGAGTCCGCTCGCAGAAGGGTATCGGAGCAACCCGCGTCCAGCCAGCCGTCGAGGCACAACGAAGGCGGCGAAGTGTCATCCGATGTGGAGATGGTCCCGGGTCCATCCAGGAGAGAGTTGTTAAAAGCAGGCTGAAGGACCTGATCTCGAACCTCCTCCGCCAGCGTGCAGAGTTCTTCGAGGAGAGGCATCATGGTCACGGTGTAGCCGAGCAGTCGGTCAGGCTTGGGCTCGTCTTCGAGCCAGACGTAAGTGGGCACTTTGGGCCGGCGCAGCTGGACGAGCGAGACCACGAGATCTTGTCTGGCCAATGCGCGGAGATAATATCTCGCAATAGACGATACGTTTCCTCCAGCAGAGACGTGGTGTGTGATGAGAGACGCCACGTTGGACAGGACAGTAGGAATGGTAGCCTGGTGTCCTGGTTGCGCCAGAGTAACGAGCTGGACCCTGTGAGCATACGATCCATGTTCACCACCCGAGATTCACAGTCGGATGAGAACGTCCCACACGGAGCATAGAACTCACCTCCATTGCGCAAAGACCGAGAAGTAAGAACAGAGCTTCCTCAAAGTAATAACTCGACGGCTTCATGCTCCTCAGATTGGCAAGTATTCTTGCCCTGCGATTTAGCACCGGCAAAAGCGTTTGTGAGGTGTTGTTCCCCATCCCCACAAGATATGAGTAGCCAACCGCCGACACGGCGTCTGCGACCGTTACTGGATCTTGCTGTAACATCATCAAGACGTTGGCGTTCATCTCGCACACAAACTCCTGGCCAATCAGCAGCTCAAACGGGTGTCTGTTGAAGTAGACCTCAAAATGCGGCTGATCCCCGACCGGCACCGTGCCAGGCGGGATGAGCGAGAAGATCCTCGGGCTTTCCACCACCAGCGTCGGCCGACACTCAGCCTCCGCCGGGGTGGTTGCCACGGCGATCGTCTCGGTCACCGAAGCCTCGCTCGCCGGAGTCTTTGGCGACGCCGCTGCTGCTCCCACTGCGCTCTTGCCACCGCTGCCACCAGCAGCGACACCAGACGAGGCCGTGGACGGCGGCAGTGACGCGTTGGATGATCGCGAGTGGGTAGGGGCAGGCGTCTTGTACCCCTGGCAGACGTGCCGACGCCGGGCGCAAGTACCGCATGACGGGCGGATCTCGTCGCACTTGACCTTGGCCCGGCGGCAGTCGATGCAGCCGTTGCGCGACCGTCGCGTGGGCGGGATCGCGGGCGCCATTGCTGCTGCTGTCGTATTGGCAGAACAAAGCTCGCGAGAGGCTGATCCAGCAGAGAGGAGGGGTTCGGTTTGACGTGGCTCGGGGTAGGATCCGATTGAGTGGTGCTGTGAGATTGGATGGGATGGGATGGTGTTGATTGTTGGTGGCGTGCGGGAATCGTTATCGC